ACACACACACACACACACACACACACACACACACACACACACACACAGTTCATACCCCTGTTCAACAGAGATAGTTAAGCATGTGCTCAAGTGAAGTCCCATTGCCTCCTGAAGGCACAGAGCTGGACTCTTTATGCTTCCCTACTCCGCTGCCCAAAGGAAAGTGAAGAAAAGACCTTTCAGAGGTGAAACATAAAATGAATTGAAAAGAGGGCACCTCACACTTATTTCTTTGACCATCTGTATTTTCTCTCTGCAGCGTGAAATCCTTGAGAACAGTCTTTTTATGTATGTGATATTTCCTTATAAAAGCAAAACTGGTTGAATCAGTTTCCCTAGTAATAGTCACCATTTACTTGTTAATTAGGGAGGCGTACTATGCTGATGGAGTGCCAAGACTAGAAGGATAATACATTTAAGACACTTGGCTAACAATGCCAAATAACATTATTTTTATATGTAAATAGTCGACTGGGCTACCTGTTTTCTCAAGCTGGTCAGTCCTAGCTTAATACACCCTTAAGAATGTTGGAATATCTTAAACACCATGAAAAATTTGTGTGTGTATTAAGAATACCTACAATGAATAATAATATTGATATAGCCTACAGCCGTACTAACTTGTGCTTTGATCCCATCCGTTCTTGCAAATTAAGCAAGTCAAGCCCAGTTCATATTTGAATAGGAGCCCAAAAAGGAGCAGAAACACTGTTGGTGTTCAGTAGATGGCACTCTTCCTGAGTCAATAGTGAACCAATACCTCACATGGAGGCACTATGCTGATAGAAGTGCTGTCTTTCAGATGAAATATAACTGACCTGCTGACTATTTGTGGCCATGAAAGATCTTGTGTCTCTTTTCCTAAGAGTAGGGGTATTAACACAATGACCTGGGAAAATTCCAATTTGGCTGAATATGTTCTGCCTTCCTAAATCTTTCCTGCTGTTTTAATCAGATAGAGATACACCTCTACCTCGATATAACGCTGTCCTCGGGAGCCAAAAAATCTTACTGCGTTATAGGTGAAACCGCGTTATATTGAACTTGCTTTGATCCACCGGAGTGCACAGCCCCGCCCCCCCCGGAGCACTGCTTTACCGCATTATATCCGAATTTGTGTTATATCGTGTCACATTATATCGAGGTAGAGGTGTACTCACTTTCCGTTATAAACTGCTGTGCAGTATTGCTGTGCATTGTTGAATTGGCTGTGCTATTTTATCCCAGAAGTGGCTACAGTTTAGTGGGTAGGAAGAAATGATCTCTGTATATTGGCTTAAGTTCTGAAAAGTGTTTTGAGACAATCTGAAATAGTTCAGGGGAACCCTAAAGTTCAGTCTAAATATTCCAAATTCAGCATAAACTGCTTACTTTAATTTGGAACTGTTTCTTTATTTTGGTGGCAGTGTTAATATATTTAATTTTTACTAAAAAGCAAGCAAACATAATAGTACGTATAAACAAAACAAGGGAACTTGATTGGGAGTTGCACTTGTTTTGGAACTGCGGGATTGATCCCTGAATGTATCTGAAACCTTACTCTCCAGTAATCAATCTTTTTCTCCCACCTCTGTTTTTTTTTAACTTTCCAGCAAATCCTTTCCATTGTTTAATCGATGTGTTCCACAAAATCCTGAGTGCTATTCGCAGTTTGCATCCATCTTGATAAATGTGGTTAACGAAGTTGATGTTTTTCATCGTATTCTGAGTGGAATAATGGCAGGAAGAGATACTGTAATAGGACTGAGTGTCCTTGCACTAGGTAAAGTTATGAATAGAAGATGGATTTTAAAAAAAATGTTAAAATAGTCTCATGTTTCAAATCTTTGTAGAGAGAATAATGCAATTTTTAAAAATATTGAATCTTGATATTTGCTGCATAGATAAGTTTGTTCTGTATGTTAAGAGAGAGAACTGCTGTTTGCTTTCACAAGACATTTAATAGACTAAAGAAATTCCGATGTATAGAAACCAGACTGGAAACTTACTCTGTATCACTTGTTTGTTTTTTGTCTGACTCCATTAAAAACTTTAGGTGAAAAAGTTATAAAATCAGAATTTATCCTAGCATGAGGTATGTTTTAATGTTATTAAATGATACTAATGATAATGATACTATTTCCTCTTTTCTTGCCATTGAGGTCTTAGAAACTAGTTTCGTCTTTGAGTGATTGCAGACCTGTATTTCCCTTGAGCGTGCATGTGCCGAGTACATAAAAGCCAGAGAACCTTACCTAGCAGTACCTATAGGGATGGCACTGGTGCCTTCTGGCCATTAGCTCCTTCCCAAGCTGTTTAAGAGCACTCTGACCTTTCTCAGTTCCTTCACCAAACATTAAGAATTGAGACTCAGATGCAGAGGGGATGGAGGGTGGGTCATGGAATACACTTCTACACCTACATCTTGAAGAACAACACTTATCTGTACTGTAACTAACAGTCTTTTCTTCGAGTGCTAAGTCATCCCATTGAGGAATCACTTCCTGCACTGGTGGGAAGAGACAAGTGATCCTTTCAGAAATCTGACTACCATGGAGTTTGAGAAGACTTTGATTTGCCTTGGATGGAGGATGAAATGCCAGAGGACTGGAGGTGCAACAATTACTCCAGAATGTCCTGAATGCAGGATTGTATTGGTAGAATCCTGCAGCCTAGGGACCAAATTGAAAAACGTTTCCATTTAGCCAGATAGGTGGCCCTTAGGTAGAATCTGTTGAACAGCTTCAGAGCAGCGCTCCTGTTCCTTGTCTAGCCATGCAGCATTCATTCTGTGAGGTGCAGGCTGTTCAGTGCTGGGTGCGAAATCTGACTGATACTGAATCAGTAGATTGGGACCATAGGGATGAACAGAGAGACTGAGGAGATAGCCCTTACGCTAGCACCGCCCCATCAGTGTACTGCTAGGCAAAGTTCTCCGGCTTTGGTGCGCTCAGCATGGACCCCTGAGTGGAATATACATGTGCACTCGCACCTTGAAGAGCAATAGCTACAGTACAGGAAGGTAACCATCTTATTCATGTAAACTGAAAATGTTTGATACGCTTATAAATATTAAAGTAATTAAGCTAGTTATTAATAGGTAACAGTAATTTTACATTTTCAGTATTAAAAAATCAGTTTGATAGCTTTGATTTCGTGAGTAAGTTGAAATTAACAAAAACTAGCTTTAGGATGAGAGAATAGGATGGATTTACCCTCTGGAGAGAATGGACTTCAGAAGGCAAGGGTTATACCAGTATTGAATTTACCTTAAGAACCTGACTATTCTACATAATTACTAATTCTGGTCATTTTAGGCTCTGATTTTGGAACATTTCTGGTCAAAACAGAATCTCTTCAGTTTTAAAGCCTATTGGTCTCTGCTTTTGAGATCAGTGTTTACAAATAAAAAATCTGGACTGTAGAAAAACCTAAATTTTCCATGTAAAATAATTAGTTTGATTAAATAGATCATAACAGTCATCTGAAGTTAACTCTTTCTATATATTTTTTTTTTTAATTTTCCAGCCTTCTCTTTAATAATGGTTTTAACCTTCAGATTCATCACCACACTTCTGGTCCATATTTTCATTACACTAGTTGTGTTCGGATTGTTATGTAAGTATATTTATTTATAATGGATGTTTAAGTAACCCATTGTTTCACCAAATTGAAGGAAAAACATAAAGGAAAAAACAGCAAACCTGTTTCTCCTTGGCTATCCTTCAGTAAGCTAAATTGGGTCTCAATCCTGCAATCAGATCCATGCTGGACCCTTTCTCTGTGTGGATGAAAAGGTCTGGCTATGCAGGTCTAGCTGTAGGATCAGGGTGTTGAGAGGTTTGTTTTGTTTTAATTATTTATAGATGTCTGCAGATTGAATTTCTTTTGACAAATGATTTGAGTATGAGCAGTGTTAACGTTTCCAACAAAGTTTAAATAGAGAATTGAACAATGCATCCTTTATAAAGAGAGAACTATTAAGAATGATCAAAGCCTGAAATGTGAGCTATCTTATAAGTTATATTTATTTCTTGCAATGATGCTGTAACTTCAAAGCTGCAAGAAAACCAGACTTAATTTTGGCTTTGACCTCAAAATAGCAAACTAGCCACACAGTTTTATTCTGTGAGCACAGATATGTGCATTTACACCTAATGTTTCTCACTCTTTGCTACACTACTCCATTCTTCAGTTAATCTGTAATTCAAGAGGAGAAGGTAACAGAGCCATAACATCTACAAATTAGCTTGCCAGTCACTTGTGAAGCACTGTCTGCACCTTCATGGATTTGTGTTTTGTTCTAGTTGTCTCCGGTGTTCTGTGGTGGCTCTACTATGACTACACTAATGACCCAAGCATAGAACTGGAAACTGAAAAAGAAAATGTAAAATTTTTACTTGGATTTGCTATTATATCTACCATGATTACGGTGAGAAATTTTACAGAATGATCGTTAGGGAGCTTAATGTTAGAGATGGTAATCTGAAACCTTGAAATAAAACTATATTACAGCAATGTGAGTGCACATGCTCCCTCCTTTATTTACCCTTGACATTGAAAAGGGGAAACTCCATTGTAGAGCGTAACTGAGGCTGTGTGGTGATGTTTCAACCATGACATGGTCAGTTTATCTCTTTGTGGATTGCCCTCTAGTGCATTCTGCTTTCCATTTGCAGCCAAATAAGATCTGTTTATAATTATTTAATCCTTTTCTTACATTTTATGGTGACATTCACCTGTATTATGTAGAGTCTGCAAGAGGCTCTCCACAAACTTAAACCCTGTGCTAGGGCTATAGGATGATGCCAGCAGAGCAGCTTGTGTTGGAGGACTTTTGCCCTGGGCACACTGCTGCAGTGTGGGTCTATAGGCCATCCTCAGTTAAGCTAATGGGGTTGAGTGAGCAGAGAGACACTGGATCCATGGAAATGTGAATCCTGTGGACCCAACATACCTTGTACGTGGCACAAAGGGGCAACAGCCATTGCAGAAGGGGGAGGGATAGCTCAGTGTTTTGAGTATTGGCCTACTAAACCCATGGTTGTGAGTTCAATCCTTGAGGGGGCCACTTAGGGATCTGGGGCAAAATCAGTACTTGGTCCTGCTAGTGAAGGACTCATATGACCTTTCAGGGTCCCTTCCAGTTCTATGAGATAGGTATATCTCCATAAAGGTCAGTACTGCAGTTTAGTTTGCTGGCCACAAGCTGTAGTGCTGAATTTTTGCCTTCCTGTCATCCACCTCCTGTTCACCACACAACCTTATTACTATGGCTTTATGCTGTTGAAATGAATGTTTCACCTTATTTAGCATCGTACCCCAGTATGAATGTGTGAACAGTTCATGTATTGTTGGGAAATGAGTCAGTTACATTAATATTTTTTAAAAGAAAATGTGGTTGCACACAATGGACAGTCTGTATTGTGTTAAAGTGACTAATATATAAATGAGATATCCTATCTCATAGAACTGGAAGGGACCTTGAAAGGTCATCAAGTCCAGCCCCTTGCTTTCACTAGCAGATACAAGTACTGATTTTGCCCCAGATCCCTAAGTGGCCCCCTCAAGGATTGAACTCACAACCCTGGGTTTAAGCAGGCTAATGCTCAAACCACTGAGCTATCCTCCCCACAACTATAATTGTGATACACACTAGAGATTGCTTGCATATTCTCTGTACATTATCAGACAGTGGGCTCTGCACCTCTTCTCTTCCTAAATAAAAGAATTAGAAAAGGTTTCTTTGGATGCAGATTTGTTCAGGTGCAATGCCTTTGCCATTTGTAGAATTCCAAATACATCATCTGCTCCCAGTGGCTCTTCTGAGAGCATCTGTCATCTTTGTAAAGCAGGCTAGAAAAGTGGTGAAGCAGCTTCTGTTGTGAATGTTTGTTGTTTTGTAGTTTCCAGTGTGCTATGTCTTTTAGGTGGTGGTTGCAGTTCAGTGTTAAAGATTTAGTGCATAATAGTTTTATGAAAAAACATGTTCTGCTGTGGTTCCTTTGTGAAATCGGTACCACGCTCCCCCTACAAAATTTGACAACTTCTGATAATTTAAGAAAGAAATTCCTAGTTTACTATTTTTCTGATTTGTTTTTCATCTCTTTTAATAGATGGTTCTACTTTCCCTCATATTTGTACTAAGGAAGAGGATTCAGCTGACTGTACAGCTCTTTTGGGTTGCTAATAAAATAATTAGCAGGGTTCCTTCCCTACTGTTCCAGCCACTATGGACCTTTTTGATTCTCATTTTCTTCTGGGTGTTCTGGGTTGCTGTGCTACTTAGCTTAGGAACTGCAGGTAAGTTGTATTTTATCATGGTCCTGGGTGTACACTATCTTGTTTTAAACTTTGGTGTTTAAACTCAGAACCTGTTGGTGTTAGTGTACAAGGTGTAATATATGTTGTAATATATCTACGTTCTGATCTTATTTTCTGTTTACTTCACCTTTGCATTTCTAGGAGTACTGCAAAAGTAGCTACAGTTTTGTGAGGCAAAGATAGTACAGCATGTACATTTGTGCACTCTCACAGAGACTTTACTTTAGTTCTTTCTTGTTTAGTTCTCATAATATAAAATGTCATTCCAGATCCAAACTATGTAGTTGCTTTTTGTAAATGGAGAGCATAACAGAAAGGGGGAGTGCTTTGATTTAGTACAGCGGTTGTGAAATTAATGTTATTCTACTATGGGAACAACAGGAAAGTGCCTTCCCTCCTGTGAGAGATGTAAAATTATTCTGAATATCTCTTCCCAGCATTTGATGGAAAGCTCCGCAGGTTTGTGGAGAGATTCTCTCTTTCTCCCTTTCTTCCTCTTCCATCCCCAACTGTTAAGGTATTTCAGAAGCACTTGGTTGAAGCATTTGTCTGGCGGGTGACTTGCTGTTTCTCCAAAGTTGTTAGGCACAATGGCACCAAATTTTCAGCCCCCGTAGCCTCTTCATGAATCTTTCCTGCCTAACTGAACATCAGTTCTTGTGGGACAGATTTACTTTGCTTTGAGATGTCATGGATGCTTCTTCAAAACACTTTTCTTAGCCTGTAATTTTTGCCCCTTATTGGTGCTGGTCACATGTGGCCTGGGAATGCCAGGTGCTGCACTATGTGGTTGTTACTGAAAGGGAAGCACACTTTTCAGAATCACGAACCGTCAGTGCAGGGTATAGCTCAGGAGGCCATTGGAGCTTTAGTTAGTGGGTTGCTTTCATCTGGTTAAGGCCTCTTATTAATTTGGATAAAGGTTATGCCTTAAAGCTGTAAGGGTGTAACTGCTCATTTTTAGGTAGTATAGGAGTGCTTTTCATGCAGTTTTTGAACAGCTCTGTTTGGTCAGAGGTTAGATCTAAGTACAAGGTATTAGTCACATAAACTACAGTAACTCTAGTAAAGCTGGTAGCAGTTCGGTAGAATGAATCCGAATGCACTAAATTGGAAATACTAATTGCCAGGAATGCTAGAGGAAACAACACAAACATTCTTCATTTAAGCAGAGCTGACTATGAGAGAATGCACAAAAACCCAAAGGAATCTTCACTGTAATTCTCCAATGCAACAAAACACTGTGTGTGAAGTTTGTCCTTGTTAAATCTAAATTCGGAAAATGCCAAGTGAGTCCAACGTGTTCAAAAAGGTTATTAGTCTCTTAGGGATACAAAAGAGAGTTAGAGGTTATAAATATTTTGGGTAGTGTAACAGAATCAATTTGATGAGTGCAAGATGATATAGTTGGGTGTTTCCTGAGTATTGCTGTATATTTCATTAAGAGTTTTTCAATCCTGTGCCTGGGTTGTCTTTAGCAGATGTGTCAATAGTTGTAATTTTCAGCCATTTAGCCAGTTAAAGTATTAATATTTATAGTGAGAATGACCATGTTACTTAAAACAGAACAAACTAAAGTGACAATATGAGTGTTAAAGGAGGTGTTAGAATAGATACAGAAATATCAACCCATGTGTTCATTTGTTTTCCTAATTGCAAGTGAGCTTTTATGAGCTTTAATTCTGCCTCTAATCAGGTTAGGGCATTAGCGTACATCAAAGTTAAACAGTGGCTATTGTTAATAATTCAAGTGATACTTGTTTGTTATTACCAGTTGAGTAAAAGAAAACTGTAGTAACACCCATAATCCACTAGATGCCATTAATGTAGTTTGAAAAACTCTCTGTTGAGTAACTTATTTTCATTCTTCTTCAAGTGCTTGCTCATGTCAATTCTGTTCTAGGTGTGTGCGTGCCCATGTGCGCGGTCTTCGGAGATTTTTACCTTAGCAGTATCCGGCAGTGGCGCCCCCTTGAATGCCATGCACATGCGCCGGTATATCAGGTACCGCCGACCCTACGCCCTCTCAGTTCCTTCTTACCCGCCCATGGTGGTTAGTTGGAGCGCCTTTCCTTGCATTGCAAGGGCTAGCTGTTTTTTCGTCTACTGACTTCGAGCTTAGGGCCTTGTAAATAGTTTGTTTATAGTAGTTCGTGTTAAGTAGTTAGCAGTTAGGGTCCCAGTGGGTACTTTGCCCCAGGCGGTGCATGCCCCTGTCTCCCAGGTTTAAGCCCTGCGCGGACTGCAAGAGGCCTATGCCCGTGAGGGAACCCATAGCAGCTGCTCAAGTGCTTAGGGGAGTCACACGTTAGAGACAAGTGCTGAATTTGTAAGAACTTCTGGCCCCGCACACAAAGGGAGTGAGATATTCAGCTACGGGCTCTCCTCATGGAGTCCGCCCTGCGTCCGGCCTCCATGCAGCCCTGCCAGGACTCGCCATGTACCTCGGCCTCGATGTGCAGTGCGCCCCTGGCACCGATGCCCAAAAAGCATGACTCCACGGCACCTGGCAAAAAAGGGCCATGGTCATCAGGCAAGGGACCCACTCTGGAGCCACGCAGTTGTACCTCCTTGGTCAAGACTCTTAGCCCCATGAAAGATCCACCACCGACTCCCGGAAGCAGCATGGAACCAAAAACCCTTGTGGCACTGACATCTTCATAGGTTCCCCTGGTGCCGAGAGAGCACAGGCCTCCACCTGCGCCACCAATGCAGCAGGTGCCTTAGGAACTGGCAAAGGCTCCCCACGAAGGCAAGCCAGCCGCTAAGACCCCTAAGGGGGCAGTGGAGCGCCACTGATCCCCCAAGACAAAGCAGCCCAGACCCTCTGGGGCTCATCCTTGGTCACTGGCACCACGTTTGCGGTCGCCGCCATCTTAACGCGGATCGCCTAGAGCAAGATGCCGGTCTCCGTACTAACGACGCTGCTCACCCTCTCGCTGATCATTCTCTCGGCACAGGTACTGGTCACCTGCCTCATGGGAGCATTCCCCGTTGTGTCTCCAGTCCCCCCGGCACCGGTACTCCTGATACCAGCGCGATCACCTCGCTCCGGGCACCGGTCTGCAACAGTGACAGTCAGTAAACAGACTCAAGCTTCGACGGCCCCACTTGCTGGAGGATTTTCTGCACCTTGAAGTCTTTAAACCATGATTTGAGGACTTCAGTAGCTCAGACATAGGTTAGGGGTTTGATACAGGAGTGGGTGGGTGAGATTCTGTGGCCTGCGTTGGGCAGGAGGTCAGACTAGACGATCAGAATGGTCCCTTCTGACCTTAAAGTCTATGATTCTGTGATTCTATTTCCACATCTCCATATTCCAAGGTCACAACGTTTCCTCCATTTTATAGTGGGCGAATGCCATTTCCAATTTATGGCGCTCCCCTTTGGCGCCTCATCGGCTTCAGGGATCTTTACAAAATGTGTGGCGCCAGTGGCTGCTTACCTCCGACGTCGAGGGGTCCAGGTCTTCCCGTATCTCGACGACTGGCTCATGAAGGACAGATCTCAGGATCAACTACAGAGAAGTCTCCATCTGGTGCGTTCCACCTGCTATGACGTGGGCCTGTTGATAAACGAGAAAAAATCCACCTTAAGGCCACTCCAACTCATAGAATTCATAGGGGTGGTTCTCGACCACACGTGAGCCAGAACATTCTTCCCAGTGGCATGTTTTCAGGCCATGTCGGACCTAATGTCGCATTTCAAGAACCACCTGCTCACCACGGCTCACACCTGCCTGCGGTTGCTGGGCTACATGGCCACCTGTACATACGTTGTCAGTCATGCCAGGCTCCACCTCTGGCCTCTGCAAGCATGGTTGGTGTTGGTTTACACCCCCAACAGACACGATCTAGATTGGGTGGTCCGGGTGATGGATAACATCCTGTCGTCCCTGGATGGTTGTTGGACACCAGGTCAGTGTTGGAAGGAGTCCCCTTCATGACCCTATCCCAGTTGCTGACCCTGGTCTCCGATGCTTCGGACCTGGGCTGGGGAGCTCACCTGGGTGAGCTGAGCACGCAGGGCCGATGGTTGCGGGACAATCTGACCCTCCACATGAATGTCAGGGAGCTCAGATCGGTTCGCCTGGCCTGCCAGGCTTTCTTGTCCCACCTGAGGGGCAAGGTGGTGCAGGTCCTCACGGAAATTACTGCCGCGATGTATTACATCAACAGACAGGGCGTAGCCAGGTTATCAGCCCTTTGCTAAGAAGCTTTCAGCCTTTGGCACTTCTGTATGTGGCATGCCATTCATCTGGTAGCCACACACCTGCCCGGCACTAAGAATGTGCTAGCAGATTGCCTCAACGGGACCTTCATCATCTGGAGGTGGCCAGTATGATCTTCCGAAAGTGGGAAACTCCCCAGATGGACTTGCTTGTGTCCCGCCAGAACAGGAAATGCCAGGTGTTCTCTTCACTCCAGGGAATGGACAGGGGTTCCTGTCAGATGCTTTCCTGTTTCTGTGGTCGGGAGCCCTGATGTACTCCTTTCTGCTGGTGCCATTGATCCACAGAGTCCTCGTGAAGATCAAACAGGACAGGGCGAGGGTTATCCTGTTAGCCCTCGAGTGGCCTCGCCAGCACTAGTTTGGCATGCTGCTGGAACTTTCGGTAGCCGAGGTGCTGTGCCTCCCTCTCTGGCTGGACCTCCTGTCCCAGAACCACGGCATTCTCCTGCACCCAAACCTGGAGGTGTTGCACTTGACAGCCTGGCTGCTGCATGGCTGAATGAGGACGAGCGGGAATGCTCGACCCGGGTGCAACAAGTCTTGTTGGGTAGCAGAAAGCCCAGAGTAACCTATCAGGCAGAGTGGAAAAGATTAATGTGCTGCACCTCGGATGGGCACGTCCGGGCCAATCAGACCTTGTTGCAGGTGATCCTGGACTATCTTCTGCGCTTCAAACTTCAGGGCTTGTCCCTGTCGTCAATTGGGGTCCACCTGGCCAGGGCTTTGGAGCTGTGCTTTGGCTCTGC